TTCTCCTATCAGTCTCCAAAACTCAGCACCCCCCTTCCCCTGGGAGAAAACCTATATTGAACTGGGGGAGGCTGGAGCTACGTACCTTAGTTCACATCAAATTTTAAGGAGCATGATAATGAAAAATTGAGTTTACTTCTTGATTCATTAGACGGTCTCAACCACTTTTGTCGTTCATTACAGGTTCGATTATTTCATTTTTACTCATCATTTCCATAGTGATCGACAAAATTGACGTGTCTTCACTTACCTCCGCTCGGAACATTTGATAAGTGAAAACAACTTCCAAGCACTACACGCTTGAATGGTGTTAAAAATTTGAAATTGCTATTTTTGTGAGGATGTATCGGAATAAATTTTAAAGTTACCAGCTTATCAATCTGTCAATACGCACGGTCCCGGACTACATGTATACGCACTGGCAAAAACACGTTTCTCAGCTAATGAATAAGACTAGTTTCTTTTTTGGTTTAGTTTTTATTTTTTTAAATGCATCTTATCATCGACACTTTATCCATCACTCTAGTTATCTTTAGACACAGTAGGCCACACAAAAAAAGAAAGACTAATATTTCGTAGAGGCTACAAACTTTACTATTGAACATCTTTTTTCTAAGGGAAAAAAAAGCATTCCCCCAAAGGTATTTTCACAGAACTGGCAAATTAAAATGTCCTTAATTTAAATTTATTCGAATTTTTCTTGCATAGCATATCAAACTGTCCTTGCATCTTTACCTCGCTAAGAACTTATTTCATCTTTTTCATCTTCCTGTTTATGAATATCATGTTTATCATACATTCCATACTAATGTACCCTCAAAAATTTTCATCGAAAATTTAATTAGAATCCAGGCTAACAAATGATGGCATGGATAAAGTTATGAGAGACTAATGGCAAGTCTTTTTCTGATAACAAGGCAAATGTCAGTTTGACGAGAGCGTACGGCTGAACTTAAGCGCGTCTCTCAACTTCAAAAAGTGAAAACACGAATGAGCCATGGAAGCTCCTCTTTTGGTTCAATTATCTAATTTCCGTTGAAAATGGACGGAGATATATAGTGAAGCTCTTATCTGCTATTTCTGTTATGTCTGAAATTTTTTTGCTCTAACTGTAATTCAGGATTATTTAGGCGTTAGCGAGATAAAAGCACACTAATGCCTCAAGCAGAGGGAATCTGAGAGACAAATGATCGATGGGGGCTCAGCGAAGTGAAAACCTTAACTTGCCCCTCTGAAGACAGACTAGTTGCATGTGGTGGTAGCTTAAATAATTCAGACATCAGAGTAAATGACAATAACTTTCCGAGTATGTTGGTTGTTCTTGTCAATGCTATTATTCTTTTTCAAAATCAGCATACAATATTCATCAGAAGAATGTTAATGTAGTTCAAATCAGTCAAATTATATATCAGAGCATTTTTAGCCGTCTTCTTCCGCAAAACGCAACCTTTTTCGATCTTTTTGCCGGTGAAATACCTCGCACTGGATGTTGGGAGAGCGCGTAAATCGCCTCAGGCTCGTGATTTACAATGATCGCCGATGCGCTCACAAAAATTTCCTTGTCAATTTACCGAAATGAAAATGAAATGGTTTATTAAAGGAATTTTGGATCGATCGATTCTTTAGTTGGCACACCGGTGAAATAAATAGTCGATTTTTAGCGAATCAGGACACGTTTATTTGTACAGCTAGCGTGGAAGTCGGTGAATAAAATCTTTAAAAATCGATAGATGAAAACAAAACTCAAAAATGGTAACAGGATTCCCGACAGACCCGTTCCACTACAATTGTATTTGCGGCAGTTTCAAAAGGGAGTTAAAGAACAGCAGCACTTTGAACTTTCTGGCGCAGGGGCTACTAGCAACATCAATTCAGTTACAATAATTTAACGGGGCCATAGCTGTCTGCACGATCTAAGATTACGGGGAAAGAAGCTAAATAACACCAGGCATAATAAACCATTACAGTGTGTAACAGATGCCACAGTTTTCTTTCCAGAACCATCTATGAATATAGTTCATTGTTTCTGAGTCGCATAATTCATATCATGAAATGCCGCGAGGCATCTAAATAGTTTTGGGGGACTATCATCCGTTTAGGTTTCTTTAGTAGGAAATGAGGAACAGAAGCGCGAAATAAGGAACATAAGAAAGCAAAATGCACGTTCAAATCGTGAGGTGCGCCACCAGAGCAAGGATGACCAATATAAATAATGGGAAAGCTTGTACGCTGGCAAGTTTCCAACTTGAACACATATTTTGCGCAATTAGCGCATCAAAAGTCTAAAGGCAAAATGCCGCGAAAGTGAAACATAAAGATCGAAAATTCTCTAATAAGTCCCAGAACTTAGGTTTACCACCTGAATAAAAAACAGATATCTAGCCTAAACTTTAGGTTGAAATCTTCATAATATGACAGATTCGGCATTTTGAACGCGTGTATCGTATCATTTTGACATTTAATTTTGAAAATGTTTGCCTCTGGCGGCTGTCTCTTATTTAAATGACGTTTTATGCAAGATAAACGATCGATAGTAAAAATCTTATCCTCCTCCTGCCAGTATTATAGTATTACTGTCCGCAATTAGGAAGATATGTATATAGTAAAATAGTATCTAATAGTAAATATTCATAAATAATTTTTTTCCTGTGATTTTGTCGATCCTCGTTCAGCGAAAAAACAGAGGATAAAATGCAAACAAAACTGCAAATTTTATGGAGGAAATGGTAGAGAAACAACAGTCGATCGAATTTCAAAAGAATTCGCTTTTTTTGTTTCATAGCATAGCGTAAGCAGGACTACAATATTTGTATGAAGAACAATCAGCATATTCAAATGGTGTGAATGGAAGAGGACAAACCTGATAGATCCGGCTGTTGTAATCCTTGCCGAGTGATTGTTGTTTCAAATCCCGCTTCTTTTCTTCACCACAACAAAGAATTACCGTCAGGCTGGAAAAAATTGAGGTCGGAACATGTGTTAATTTCCTCCCACTTCAAAAGCAGAAAACCATGTGACTTTTCTGGTCACGAGCCTCGAGGCTTGTGCCCTGAATCATGGCAAAATGAAACGCGCCGCAGTGTACCTATTTCAAAGAGCTTGCAATTTTCCCTGTGCTTAAGTTAGCTTTGGCCTTACAAGAAAGCGCTATCGTCTGCGCGAATCAAAGCCAGCAAAATACATCTTCGAGATCACATTAACTGATCAATAATATTTACAGTTCACTATTTCGACAATCAAACCAACACCTGTGGGCTCCTGCGGTGTTTTCTACCCGCTGAAACTCATTTTCGCGTCAGGAACTTTGCAGTTATTGGTCGTGTTCGCCCAAACTAGCGCTTTATCTCGTTCCATATCAAGATTCAATCCATGAAATTCTCATAATTGCCTCAAAACAGCTCTAACCATCATACATCAAAAAAGAAGTGCGAAGTTTTTAAAAAAAACAAACAAACATTTGGCACCAAAAAAACTCCGGGAAAATGACAGTAACAACAAAAACAACGAAATAAATTTTAGTCAAGAATAATAATGGACTAGATATGTATACTCACAACTTTTCGGAGAGCAAACTGAATCCAAATTGAGTTTTTTAATTACGACCCGAGCAACAGAAAATAGATTTGGACACCGTTTAAAAACCTATCTTCTGTAAATCAAAAAAAGTAATCTTGTCTATGCCTTTAATTTCGCCGAAACGGACTTAAATGGGGCGATTTAAAAAGGGTATTTTAAAGTGTCTATATTGTGCTTAAAATGTTTAAAAAGCTTTGTAATCTGAATGTGATTTGACAGCTCGTAATCTAACTTGTTGTAAATCGTTATTTTAAACCCAAACGCGTCGGAAAGGGCCTAATATGTAAACCAAACAATAAAATTACTAGAAACTCGGCAAACATTTGCAAATTTGATACGTCCGAATTCTGAAAGGAATTTAATGCGAAATTACTTTGTCATTTTAATCACAACTTTCGTATACCATGGTAAAATGAAAAATCGGATCGACCTTGAACGTTCAAAGAAGTTTCTTGCGAAAGGAAAGGACAAAAGTAGTACTGCAATTTCATAAGAAAAAAAACAACACAAAGGCGCCTTTATACAAAAATATGCAATTAGATCTATCTATAAAATTAAAAGAAATTCTATTTAATGCTGGCAATCAATTCAGATTCAGATATCAACAGCTGGTGAGTCATGCAATTATCAGCAATGTCCTGAAATTTAATGTTTTCAACTAGTAATAGGTATCTGAATTCTGAGCAAAAATCAGTCGAGTCTTTTTGCAATACTTTGAGTATCCATTGCTAAGGGAGGTTTCCTGAAAAAAGAAAATAACTCGCAATAATTTTGGTTCTATTAGAAACCCTGAAATCATCTCGAGCTTTAAAAACTGATCATTGAAAAAAGTTTTCTGACCCCGCCGACAATTATTCGTCCTTTCTGCCCCAAAAAATCACGTTCATTGTTGCTAACTTAAACATTTCAGCTCTTCTTCGAGAATGTTTTGGCCCTCACACAGCTTGTACGGCGATGATGGAGCCGTAACACAACATGTGTAACGAAATCTCAAGTTTTGACTTTCAATTTGACAGTCCACTTTTTTATGAGCCGCAGGAAAGCACTTTGCCTCATAGTTTGCCTGGCAAGCTATCTGGGGGCCTGGGCAGAGAAGGGGAAAGGGCGGGGTGGGAGTCCATATCTACATAGCCTTTGCTTCTTACAAGATAAATGGGATGACAATACAACCATTATTTGTTTCTGCACTTACGTGCACTGTTTAGATATGGGAACACTAGATATCTAACACACGGCACGGCCTCAGCACGTAACAGGGAAAATTTGGAAGGAATTCGAAGGGACCGAAAAATGAAAACAGGCAGCCACGCCTCCACTAGCCTCTACTTCCTCACTTCCTCTAGCATTCCATATGGTATAAGAGAAGTGATGCGAGCTGCCCAGGAACAGACATTCTGCTCTGCGAACAACGACAAATACATCAGTTTTAAAAGCAGAGATTTGAAACCTGTATTCTTATATTCAAATTATTTGAAGCTTCCGCAAGCAAGTTTGATTTACATTTTTTTCTAATATTTGACGTTTCTTTATTCATTTTTCAAGACCATCGCCCCATTAGGATCCTCGCTTGAACACTTCAACGATGCCTGAGCCCTTTGATTCTCTCAATTAACCTGTAAGTTCTCCCCATAATTTCAACGCAGTATCCCGAAAACAAGTTCAGCCATTGCTAGCTTCCCTTATTTTCAAGTTCATAAGCAATGTTCAACATTTCGTGCACATGAACGATCTTTTCGCGAGGTTTTCCGCGTTCATTTCCCCTCTTTTGTTCAACTTGATCGATTTTGCGCCATTGATCAAAGAACACAGGTCTGACCCCTGGAAAAGGAGAAAAAAAAACAGATAGAAACTTTGAATAAATGAACAGGATATATACGCATATATTTCAATCCATGTACCGAAAGGTCAAGAGAAAGATTATCTTAACCCTTCACACCCAAACATCAGTATACATATCCCTCATACTGTTTTTTATACATTTCCTATGACACTAACGATGAGAATTTACACAAATATCGAGAGCTTTTCAAATCTGAGATCATTTCCTTAATTCTCATGAGCCTAATGTTTGATTCAGCGGTGATATCTTGGTGAGAAATTAGATAGCAGTCGCCCTAAAGGGTTTAAGGCATTGTCATATGTCAGTGTCTCTGGTAGTGGACACTGAGGCTCTAGGGATAATTTCTACGACCTTCCCGAAAAATGTATCGTTCCAAAGGATTGGTCTGTAAACGGGGTTTGTGTGAAACAGGCCTCAATAACAACGCAGAAAGAAAAACGGAGGGAGGTCTTGTACAGGTTGTGTAACCCAGCTCAAATCTCCCCTTTGCATCGCTCTACGCTATTTTTGCAAACCGTCTGACACTGAAAACCCTTGTACGGGCTACTCTACAAATGCACTGGTCACTCATCTTCCGCACTTACCTCTTGAGTTTAGTAAGCTTTTTATCGCCTCGTATCCCTTAACTGGATCGACTTTTGTCTTTAAGTTACCTTCAATTCAAGGGAGACAGATAAAAGAAAACTCTGGTTGGAACACAACTTTTTCCTCTCCTAACCAGTCATTCATTCCCTGATGAGTAGGTCTTGAGGAAAACTCACCGGATTTTAGATCCTGTACAACAAGCTCTCCTGTTTGAAAGGCATCGTTCATTGTGGTTGCAATGACACCTACAGGTCCATTTCTCACCCAGCCACTGCAGTACAGACCTAACGTGACAAAACAATCGCAAACAGGCAAACGATGCGGGGTTATCCATTCGAAAAAAACTTTGCCTGAAAGTTTCCCGATCGTCACTGCAATCCGTGCTACACACAGTCATCCTTACCCCTCCCTGCGAGTCTGTGGTTTTTTGCACTGCTTAAGTGTCTGTTCACTTTATCAAACGTTTAGTCAAACATTTTACTCGATTTAATGGCGATTGTCTGACACGCTTGAAAAAATGTTCGAAAGATGGTAGCGTTTGGCCAAAATGATCCAACATGTTCGTGTTCTCTTTATAGAAGTTGATAAAAAAGGTTCGGTAATGGAAACGCGAGAAAAAAAAAACCCACAAAGGCACGCTATTGAAAGTGTAAGCCCACCCAAATCGGTCTTAGGAACTTGAAATTTTGTCAAAGCATTACCTGGAATTAAAGCAACACCTTTGTCGGACGTTCCAGTATTGTCTTCGGAGGAAAAAAGTAATAATTAATGAACGAGTGAAAGAGTTTGTTTTAATACAAAAAAATTAACTTGAGGCGATCTCCTTGTAGCGCACCGTGCATCCTGTTGCACAGATCACCCAACATCACCACCAAGAAATCTTCGTTGGAGATGTGAAAGTCGGTGCTTCACAGACAATTAGAAACAATTTGGATTTCAGCACTCTTGCGTACCGACGGCTCAGTAAAAAAATTCGCGCCAATCGGGTCGCTTAACATGTTACGTCATGAGCGCTGCTCTTTCACTACAAACAAAATCTCACACCAGAACATGAAAGAGCACGACAACAACGACGAAAACATCTCATACTAAACAGTCAAATCTACATTATAAAAATTCAATTGATGAGAAATTTTCGATGGAGTACCGAAAGTTATTCTTGATTGGTTTTGCTTCATTTTGTTGTGTGTTTGTGCCAAAAACTTGCGCCACTTTCTCAACCACTCAGATTCAATTAAAACTAGCCACGACTTTGTCACTCGTGTTTTCCGCGCTGCGCTTCAGGCAGTTTGCTTGGTTTTACTTCGCAGGAATTTTCTCTGGCTCTTTGAGACATTTTCCTTGATATGACTGGCTGTTGTGATTACTTTTATTTTGGTTTTACGACACTTATTCTAAAAGTACTCTTATGCTGATAACAATAATGGCTTCAATTTTTGCACTTTTACTTACTTGCATCAACTACTCTTCCATTAATGTTGAGGATGACACCTTTCCTCCTGTCAAACGGAACCTCGTTATCAAGTGGAATGCTTTTGTATCCAATGCTACGAAAAACCTGAGAGAAAAAATACCGACAAATCAGTTAGCAAGCACTTAGCAAGCACTTATTTTGCGAGGAGAAGCCAAAAAAACAAGCCGAACGAGAAAGAAAAACACAAGGGAGTTAATTCATTTCACCGTAAAATTAGCAATAACTCGCCACTAACTGGAATAATTACAATTGCAGTCTCTCTCAGGCAACGTCCGTCGCGCCAGTGAAACAAAAAACAGTGGAAAGAAAATTGATGATTGCGCGCTGCGCGGAACTCTGGAGGTGAGGCGCGCGAATAGTAGGTGTTCTTCATTCCCAGAGTTCCACACAGCGCGCTAACATCAATTTTCTTTAGTGAGTTTTTTTACTCATACGACACGACTTCGCAGAAAGGGAGAAACTTCTCGTAGTCTACGGATTTTACAATCTCTCACCAAGCCACACGGTAAATCCTCATAAACGCCAGTGCCACGGGCTTGACATGTTCCATCACCCTGCTGCATGCAAACAAACCATACTGTATTAATTCATGGAGCGCATTTTGAGTGAGTGTCGTAAACGCAAGAGTCCATCGGTAGAAAAGAAACTATCAAAAGAGACAAATGAGAACGGATAGTTAAAACTAGCAAACAACTTGACGCCCAGGAAACACGAGTGGCCTTGTAGAGATTGGTTTCGTCTTGAATCTGATTGGATGAGAGGATGGAGCGAATTTTCCGGACCAATCACATGCCAGCGAAGTAAGGCAAGTCCAAAGTAATCCCAGATTACTTTCGGATATTTACCTCAACTAAGTTGTTGACTTCACATCTTACTCCTGATATTTTTCCTAACGCCGACAGAAACTCCACGGGAGTCCTCTGAAACTTAAGCCCCCAAGTTTTGTGCGTTGAATTTTGTGAGGTACCTCCATTTCTTTAAAAGAAAAGGAAAACAAAGATTGTCCAAATTAACGTATCAGTTAAAAGGAGGTGTTTGGTAGAGTTCATTTAACTTACATTGCTGTTTTGCACATCAGTTCTGTCAGTCTTTTTCGAGGTCTTGGAATACCTATAAAGAACATGAATCAAACAAAATTAAGCCTGAAAATTTGGTGGAAAAATCTTTAAATAATCTATAGATTCTTATAGCCGCTAGCCAACAAAACGCCAACGAAATGTTTCTTCAGACAGGTCACAAAGTACATTGCCATAACAGCGTAAAAAGCTTCCAGATATTTCCTTAAGCAGAAACTTAAATTGAAAATACAACCTACTAGAGAGCTTTTCTTGTATTATTCTGAAGTCTTCAGGATTAAATATAGCTTTACAACCTGGTAACTTAGTCATTTCGCGTAATTCCTTTATAGTGAAAGAAACCTGGAGAGTAAAAAATTAAAAACAATTAACAAATCAAGAAACCTATACCAACAGTATCTATACTGATGTAAAAGAAGATGGTAAATTTTTAAATTTAATTTAAGCCTGATGATACGATTATTAAGTAAAATATGATGTTGTTCAGTTAATGTCACAGGCATACTTGGAGAAAGAGAACTCCAAGTGCTTCTACTAGGAGTCCAGCCTTACCTACGTGTCAATATGTGAACAAGAAATCATATTGTAGCAGCATGCAGGATGTTTGTCACTGTGGGCCTAGTTAAACTGCCAAGCCTGCCACACAAGTCTTCTATAGCTCAGCAGTAGGAGATCTGAAGTACCAATCACAAGGTAAAAAGTTTGAGTCCTATAGGGAGCATTTGGAGTTTTTTTTTTTTCCGAGCATGCCTGAGTCATTCGCTCAATAACAACACTGATCTTTCACCCAGTAGCAGAATTTACCTCTCCTTTTTCATTGACTGCGTTACATTGAAAACTCTTTCGCAACATGGCAAATCTTAAAAAATTAGCAAAATGTGCATTTGATTTTGCTGCTATGTTACACTCACCTGCAGAGGTCCCCTTCTTCCCACTATGTAAACTGTGTTTATTTGACTCTTCCTCAACAGTTCCAAGGCATGATCACAAATGTCTGTTTTCTAACAGGGGTGTAAGATGGGAAGAAATACCAAAATTTTAAAAGTCACTAGGCTAAGCCTATTTTCTTTTTTCAAAGAATTTCTCTGTATGATGGTATGTGCTGGTTAATAATTGTCTGTATCAGGGCTTTTTAACCTGCTTTAATTGGTCAAACTTCAACTTGAAATTACATTTTGAGATGTATGATGATAAGAGACCTTATTTGGATGCTTTGATTTGATTTTCAACACACATGACAAACTGTTAAAGGTTCAGGAACCACTTTGATTTCTTTTTGAAAAGTTTAACACCTGACAAAGTGCATAGCACATCAGCCCTTCCAAAATTTTACCTAAACATTGCTCAATGTAAACAATAAAAATACACGTTTAAAATTACTCTTGCGTATGACAATGAATCAGAGCCCATTATTCTTTTTGTTTGGAAGTAGCAGAGATGTGAAAAGCTGACAGAATGCTTGTTATTAATTACCTCTAAAAGTTCTATTGGACTGAGTAGAATCCTTGCAACATCAAGAGCAACATTACCCTGACCCAATATGACAGCAGTTTCTGAGCTCAGATCTGGTTCTAACTGTAAACAGTGGATTCAATTAGCAAAACAGAAAAATAGAGAGAGACCACAAAACAAACATACACTTACAATTTATAAGCAATAAAATGTTTTTGTCCCTCAGGTACCTCAGTTCAAATAAAAAAAAAAACATTTTTTTATTTTGATTGGTGGCCAAAGATACTTGGAATATTTGATCAAGTCTCACTGATTAACCCTTTAACTCCAATAAGTGATAAACATGTAACTTCTCCTTATAGTATCCATACATTATTCAGCAAACAGGTAATGAGAATACTCAAACTCATCAGGTACAAGGTATTACCTTGATTGAACACCAAATTCTTATAACTAATTAACAAGGAAATGTGTAGCAGCTAGAGGGGAGAATTGACAATCAGATCTTGGGAGTTAAAGGGTTAACAAATACACTTTGTTGTTACAATTCTGGAATATAGAATGAAAAGAGAATTTACCAATGTTAAATTTGTATTATGCACAATGTTAACTCAGTCACTGGAAAATCGTTATCATGTGGTATTCATGTATGCAGTTTAAGATTTATACATTCAGAGTTAAGTGTATTTTGGAGTAAGTTTAGCTCTTGTTTAATTAAGTTTGATCATATAAATAACTGCATGGCAGGGTAGCATGAGGAAACAGCAGTAAATTTACATACTTGAGAATTAGCTGGTAATCCATTATACCATTCCACAAATGCTCTTGCTGAATATACTCCAGGTAAATCCTATGAAGTTGTAAGTACATATGAGTATTCTGAACCACCATTTTAATTGACTACTGACAACATCCTTCTCAGAACTACAGTCACCCAGACCATCAGACTAAACTATCACATGACTAATTATTCCCAAATTGTCACAGAATAGGTGGATTACTGACCAGGCAACCAAGCATTAGAAATATCCTGTTCAGATTAAGAAAAAATGACATGTTACCTCACCAGGAATTCCAAATGTTCTGTCATCTTCTGCTCCATAACACTGCAAACCCAGGGAAATCATTTGAAAAGAGACATTTGATCATAACATCTAAAAATTGCTTATCAGGATTGTTCTATCACTGAATGAATTCCTATCAACTGTCATTAGGATGATAGTGTTGCTTAAGTATACACTAGTTCCCGTTGATTTAAAATAAAGAGATGAACACATAGATATGTTGAATATAAAGACATGCTGATGATGATCTCAAGCTGGGTCTTGAGATCATCTAATTCAGTCACTACTCCCAATGAAAGTGCTTCCCATGAATATCCTTGCCCAGAGAGCCACACCGCAAGATCAATTCACACTGCTAGGTACAAACCACATTTCTTACAAAACACCTGTAGCCAATAGAGTTTTCAGAATGTTATACTTTATTTTAGATTTGAATATCTTTTTAAAATCTGTCTTAAATCGCCTAATGTACATAATAAAACTAAATTCATTCTATCTTACCAAGATAACAGCATCATAAGCTTGGAGTAACTCTGTAAGTTTCACATCTTTTCCAACATTTACATTTCCAATAAAAGTACATCTGTCAGATGAGGCCGTAGTTGTGAACTGGTTTATGCAGTTCTGCATAACAAGAGTACTAAATCATGTCAATGACATTTCACTTGATTTAAAACAGTTAAGTCTATAAACAGCTCAAGACAATTGACTCACATATCTGACAGAGTATATCCCAGTTTCTATGGTAAGAAGCAGCAAGGCATATTGTTAATCAACTAAATACCATGCTTTCAATAAGACCTGGCACCCACCAGAGTTCTGGCTGGTATTCTGTTGTGAAGTACTGGGTATACTTTGAAAGCTTTCAAGCAAACTCACAAAGTGAGGCCTAAAAAACACCTTGAGTTCTTTCAGTTGACTTTTACCTTTCTAAGCAGGTTTTGATAAAAATGATTGATATTTTATTATCATATATTTCAGCACATATTTCATAAATTTCCAGCAAAGATTTTGAGTTTCCAAGGACATACTAACTTCAATTTCGCTAACCAGTAACCGTATGTCCTTTCAGAGGACTTTTTGGGTGAAACCCAGGGAACAGGCTTGCATGTCAGCAAATGGAAAATTTTGATCGGGGAGTAGTGTAGTGATACTCCTACTTGCTTCATGTGTGCAAACACTAAAATAGTCTTGCCTTAGTTTCAGGATGATCAGGGGCAATTCCAAATCTTGCTAAGCCGAATGGTACAGGAAGACGTTCATAAACATCAGTCACAGCATCTTCATGGGACTGCAAAAATTAACATACACCAGTCAGTTTCCGACTCCATAAGGAAAAAGGGGGAGGGGGGAACGTACCCCCCTCCCTCCACCCCACGCCCTTTTCCGAAGCCAGTCACTGAAAGGGAACAAGCAATAATAATTATTTAAAATGCCTACCTTCAAAATTTGCTGCGCTGTGTAAAATCCCGCAGGACCACTGCCTACAATACCTACATGAGGTCTGTGTTTTTGATGTTTACTAACAGACACCGAAAAACACCTGAGATGTGTAGTGAACAACCTCCGAACGCCAGATTGCACAGAGCTTGAGATAGCATTGCAAAGACTTAATGATGGCTTCAGAGATGTCTTCATAACCTTTTAGAGCTTTACCTCTTGTTCTCCCTTTTTTCTAAGAATGATCAGTGATCAGTCTTCAGATCACCGTAGATTGTGTGATTTGCCATGGATTACTGAACTGAGTCCACGATAAACTTTGGATTTATGGACAAATATTCTGGTGGTGTAACAGTCATCTAGTGAACATCTATGTCATAGATTTTCAACATGGCGGAAGCGAGTGGCGGGGAAAACACTTCTTCGCCTTCTGCAACAACATCTACCGATAGCAGCGATCAAGCTGCAAGTGGAGACTCACTGAAAGAAAAGCCCACTTGCATATTATGTCTTGGTATGGCTGGATCTGGAAAGACAACTTTTGTGCAGGTATATATTAAACGGTTCCCTCGGTTGTCAAAAAGTGATAGAACGTTCCGATTGCGTTAATTAGGTCCCACGTGCCCTTAATGCGTTCGATCACATCGAGGAGAGATAATTCGTTTGGCTTCCAGAATTATGATTCAAGCGTAACACTTCTACATTATACCGGGAAAATGATCCTTGTTACTCACCGCAGTGATGACAACAATCCTCGTAGTTTTTGAATGAACTTTATGAATGATTTGGGGAAAAAATTTGGCAAAATGATTCCATTATTCTTTAAGACATAATTTCTTATATAAGTTTGAGTTTGCAATGAAATTATCGACTTCTTAAATGACTGACTGAAGAGTTTGTATTTTTAAATGAATTGCATTGAAATTAAAGTCCACTTGTCCACAAGTTATCGCAAGTTATGAAGCAAGAGTGGGGTAACGCTTCGAATAATCAGTATGTTGAAATCTTAAGGTTAAGGTAACATGAATGTACTTAAACCTTATCTCTCATGACCAGGACAGAATTTCTCCTTACAATATCAATACAATATCAAGCAGGCAGGTGATGAGAAAAAAGAAAAATATCAATTAGGTGATTATTTTTTGATCCAGTACCAAATTCTACAAACTAACATTGCAAGAATTATATATCAGACGGTAGGGAGAATTGCTGATGAGATCTTGGGAGTGAAAGGATAAAACTTCCAAGAAACTAAAACCATTCTGTAACCTTTCAGAGACTAACAGCACACTTGTATGCCAAAAAGGAGACTCCTTACGTTGTCAACCTTGACCCAGCTGTGAAAGAAGTACCATATCCAGCAAACATTGACATCAGAGACTCAGTGAACTATAAAGAAGTCATGAAACAGTACAAGTTAGGACCAAATGGGGGAATTGTTACATCACTGAACCTGTTTGCAACAAGATTTGATCAGGTTATGAGCTTTCTGGACAAGAAACAGTCAAATGAGTTCAAGTTAGTAATGCTTTCATAATTGCAAAATGACGCCAAAATGAGCTAGTTTTACAAGGATACCACTAAATTTTTTAAGAAATTTGATTCATTGAACAGTGAATTTTTTCGCATTCTAAAGATTTATGTGAACCATGTTACTTCCAGGATTTTAAAGCTACCTCTCCTTCTTTATTTTTTGTATTTCTTTGATGGCTAATCAAAAACTACTTATCCCCAAAAAAAGAGCTGTAAAGGAGCCTGGATGATAATATCACTATCATTTATTGAGCACAATTTTTTTTTTGCCATTTAATTCATATTCCCAGCAAGCATCTGATATCAGATTAAATATACTATATTATTTCATTGCAGGTTTGCCATCTTTGACACGCCAGGCCAGATAGAAGTATTCACTTGGTCAGCATCAGGGGCCATCATAACTGAGGCACTCGCATCTTCCTTTGCCACGGTTGTTGTGTACATAATAGATACAGCAAGAAGCACAAATCCTGTCACTTTCATGTCCAATATGCTGTATGCCTGCAGTATCTTGTACAAGACCAAATTACCATTTGTAGTTGTTCTAAATAAGGTGATTTAAGTTTTGTTTTCTCTGCTGGTATAGACCAGAAGTGTCTGTCTTATTTCCAGGTATAAGTCAAGTCTCCCAAAGTTCTTCTTTCAGGTGGTAACCTGTAAAAATGAACTTCCTATAGTACCTTTTCTTACTGCCTAAAATCGCTTGGGAAAAAAAAAGGTTACTCTACTAGTTTTAAAATTTATTTTACCCATGATGTTTAAAGTAAGATGAGAATGCTGAGTCTCTTGGTGTGATAACAATATCTGTTTGAGTCAGCATTTGGCATTTAGTGCTACAATCTAAAAAAAAAAAGGAAACAAGGCCAAAAACCACATTTTTTCAATTCACTCGAGGATTGCATTTTACTACAGATAACTGAACCAACAATATTTTTCATTTTTAGACAGATATTGTTGATCATAACTTTGCTGTTGAATGGATGCAAGATTTTGAAGTGTTTGAAGAGGCTTTGTCTCAAGATACAACTTACATGTCAAGTTTGACGAGGTCAATGAGTTTGGTCCTTGATGAGTTCTATCAGAATCTTCGGACTGTAGGTGTATCATCAATGACTGGGGCTGGTTTTGAGGAGTTCTTAAAGGCAGTAGACAATGCTGTTGTGGAGTTTGAGACTCAGTACAAACCAGGTAAAATACTTTGAGATATGTTAACCATTTTACTCCCTAGATCTTCTACCTGATAAGTTTTAAGTACTCTTATTGCCTGGACTCTTGATTATGTATGGATATTATAGGGAGAAGTTGCATTTTAATCATTTCTGGATGGAAAAGATGAACTGCAAAATACCATGTTTCACCTTGGTCTAAAGAGTGGGGGAGACCACTGACCTGAAAGTTGGTGCTGGATTCTGGGCTGAGAGGTCCAGTCTCAAGACCTTGTTGGGTGATGTTGGGGTGTTCTTGGGAAACCACTCTCCACTAAGAAATATGAATGGGTGTGGGCAAACTGTCAGGAATCCCTGAGAAATTGCTGGGATGGTACCCTGCCTGGATGGGTCACTTGGCCCAAATAGAGACTTACCACTTTTTTGTAACTTGAAGTTAAGAAGGATGTTCTAGCATTTCCCATGAGTGTGGAACATTAAAAAATCAGTGAGAGTCCCTCACAAGGTGGGATACTCAACAATGAAATTGAAAGATCTGGGGTTCAAATTATTTGGGTCATGCTCCAAGACGTGTTACATCTTTCCCTAAAACTGTAGTTGCCTGTTCGTAGACATCTATTTCTTGTTATTTTTTTCTTGGAAACTAAACATGTGAGCCAGTGTCTTTAAAGAATTACTTGTCAGACTCTGAGAATTAAAGGGTTACAAGTGATGCTATCCACTTTATTTTACATTTCCTTCCATTTTCCTCAGAATATGAAAGGCTGAAAAAGGAAAAAGAAGAGAAGGCAAAAAAAGATAGAGAAGACCAACTAAAAAAGGTGCAGCAAGACTTGGGCAAAGGAGAGGCTGTTGCTATGGAAACAATCAAAACTGGTGCCCAGGCCATTGAGTCTGCACATGCAACTCCCTTCCATATCTCCCTTGGTGCTGATTTGGATAGTGATGATGATGATGAAAGAGGAGATGAGGAGGAGTGGGATGAGGAGGAAATAAAGGAACATGAATCCTTCAAGAGATTCTTAGAAAAGGAGAAACAAAAGGGGCAACACGCTAAAAAGGAAGAAAGTGGCTAACTGTTCAAGTCAAATGTGTTGAAAAAAAAAACAGACCTTGAGACTATATTTATCAGAAGAGCAAAAAAATGTTGTTATTTTAAGCACAATTATGTTATACGCTAAAATTAATTAGTAGCCTGATAGGAAAGGAATTACTTCAGTCTGTAAATCAGCCAATATACATGTCAATTGTGAATGATAGGTTTTTCAAACATTTTAGCTCACACAGCTGCTTAAAATGTGGCAACAGACATCGAACTGTTTTCAACTTCTTATTCCTCTTGGTTTCACTGCTCAAAGCTCCCACTAAACAGCTGGTCATTCAGGCAGCAGGCATTTTGGTCAGAGCCAGGGCAAACATATTATCAAGTTTTGATGCAAGGCAGGTTATGCTGAACAAATTTTTATCTTAATCACTTTGACAAAATCGTTTCCTCGATTTGAAATGATACATAAATCAATCTCCCTTGGTAAGACTTGTGGCTCATGTTAGCTCTATACTTCCTGTAGAGTACATGTCTTGAAAGGGATGAGGTTATGGTGGTGTCTGGATGCATATGAAAGTAGTCCCGTTTAGACTAGGAGGTTTGAAGTCTAAGGAGTATTGTATTCGCGGAGTAAAAAGCCAAGAGAGGCTTGGGTCGGGTCGGGTCGGGTCGGGTACTCGGTTAAAGAACGCGACCAGACCCAAACTTCTCTCGTTTTGTCACTCCTCCGCCACTATATTGCTGTCTACTATTGCGCTTTCAGTTACTAACTTAGCGCCTGGAATAGGTTACCAAAGTATTTTTGAAGAACATCATTTACTCCCCCTTGGCATGAGCTTAGTAAAAGTGATTGTCCTCGAAAAAGCCATACGAGGTAGTCTGAAATAAATTTATGCCTCCTGGCAAGGGGTATTTAATCTTTTTGGTTCTCAAGGACTGAAAAATTACACACAACCGTTAGGGTTCTACAGGAGTACTTAAGATCTGCGGCGAGGCCAAATTTTTAAGCGAAACACCAACTTTATTGTAGAAAGTCGAGATAAAAAAAGAAACGCATTTCAAGGCCAAACGTTTGATAAAGGAAACATCCAAGTAAAAATATTTTTAAAATCAAGTACAGAGTAAATACCATTACCAGTGTCAGCTGGATATAAGGATTACTAATCAGATCAAAGGAAACGAACCATGAAATTGCATCTAAATTCCTTGTCGTTTCTGCTCTCTTTGATCCTATGCAGTAATTAACACAATCAAATTTAATTAGAATCATCGTCCGTTTCCTGTAGTGAGGCAATTAGTGAAGTAACCCTGGGCCCTAGTAACAATACAGGCATTGTTTACATACCATTGGATTAACAAAACTAAACTGACAGCTGTAGACATCTATCACAGACTGTGTTGATTTACTTAAATTTAAATTTCTCCTGGGTGGTCGAAGGCTGGGAGTCAAAAGAAAACGGAATGTCTGAGGTTAAAAATAGTTGCCTGGTAATAGAAATACAGTCTTTTGTGGTCACGTCCTCGTCATCGAGTTAAAGGCTTTTTTCTTGCGAAAGGGGTTAAGGAATTAATCTTTAGGGCGTGATCGCCTACCTGAAAAAAAGGGAAGAGATGAGTCTGTCAGTTTTTTCAAGGGTAATTCAACTTCAGTGGCATCACCGCTCCACGGCCGTGTTTATATATCCTTGTTTGTGTGCATATGTTCCAATACTGTTTTTCCCTTTTAATTTTCACCCCCATAGGCCAGCTCGTGGAGGCGATACTGCATCATTCCAAGTTAAATTTTCCATTTCTGTTCATTTAAGGTTTGCTGGTTTAAGAAACCTGAACGCTATTCAAAAACAATCGAGTCTCATTTGCCCACTGATGTCAAGACCTCGCCGCGTGAGTTGATTTTTTGTAACGTCTGCGCGCGAGGTCGTCGCGAATAGCTCGTGTCTCCCTCTTCTCGAGCGGGCATCTCCTTCCACCCACCTCGCGAGTCTCCCTTGTGATCACTCTCTTCTGCCTTACCACTAACAGAAGCCCGTTCCTATCCTGAAAAACAAAATTAAAAAAGAAGGGAACTCAGTTTAGCCATGGCCTAACCATAAAGTTTGAGACATGTCATGGTGTTTTGTAAACAAAGGCAAGAAGTAAGCTTCTCGATCTTTTACGAGATATTACGGCACCACTTGATCATAACCAGTAACTTTCTTGATAATACTTGATAATACACAGTAATACTCAGTAAACACTTCACAAGGCTCTTGAGAAAAAAGTGCATCTAGTTTGAATCGGTGAAGGAATATTTTTAATGATGAGGGTTGGGATGTTTTTCATTTTTCGGCGAGAAATTTGTGGTTCTCCTTAGCTTCGCTATGCTGTTGATTCTACTTCCATGGGTTGTACCATCAGTTCTGAGTGCAACTAAAAATATTTTGTCCAAATATGCTATTCGTCGCTGGATGAGATCGATGTGTTACAATCTATGACGATTTTTTTTTGTCAGTCTGCATGCCAGCGATACGGAAAATATATCGACTTAAACGGGTTTTTAAGGCCTCAGCTTCATGCTTTCCATTGACATATCCAATTGCCCCTCCCTCCCCCTTCATCCCTCCCTGGGAAAAGGCGCAGTCCCGGTTTTTTAATGGGAAAGCATTCAGCAGGAATTAAACATGAAAATACGCAAATTAGTGTCGAATGACAAGACTTCGACAGAAGGATGCTTGGTTTTCTTACTGAGCTTTCGTTGCAATTCTTTAGTATAAAAATCGCTGCAGCTAAGTGAAGCCGAGGTCGTACTCAGGCCAATAACGAGAGCCACTGAAGAAACGGAAGACAAAGGTCTCGACTAGTTTGCAGATTCAAAGGACGAACATGTTCTTTTGCGAATTCTTTGGAAGTGTCTCTTGGGAAGAACTGGCATCAAGGAAAATAAAGTTAAAGAAGTCCTTTCCTGACCAGCCAAAAATTTTTGAGGATGGCCCTCCCTCTTTCGAGCCCCGTCATAACACCCCCATCCCTCTTACCGCAACCGAAAACTTTCCCTGGAATGTTTCTGAAGTGATAGCTTAAGTCTTTGCATAAAAACAGCGAGGTCCCCAGCATCGACGAGAATCGGGCGAAATTCGTGTCTCTGTTGCAAGGCCAACACAATAAGTTTGAAAACTGAGCCAATTCTGCATTTTATTGACTTAAGTTTAAGCAATTCAATGGGGTTGACCTTTGCTTAAGCAAATTTCATTTCGTGTAAAAGGATATCCAATTATTGGCAAGAGGACTGCGGTGTACTAGAGTAGAAAAAAGTAATTAAGTGCTGTTAAATCATAAGTTTTGTAATTAGAAGTAATTACATGATCTTAAACGGTTTATATTTCATAATTAAAATGGTGCGGTGATACATAAATACAATCATTGAAATTTATTTGCATTTTAAAAAGTCTGAATTTTGTCACGTGATAGCGGCGACGGTTCCCTTGGTGACAGTCTTCATCCGAAACACAGTCCTCTGAACACCAAGATGGCGGCGGTGGCTGCTGTAATCAGGGCAGAAACAACGGGTTCTGTAGCCTCAAGCTTTGAGCAAACTCTTACCAAAGCAAAAGAAAAACAAAAGGAAAAGGTTAAAGACACCTCAGATCCTCTCAAAGTCCTAGATCCTGTGAGAAAAAAGCTCACATCAGTCGAAGCTCAACGTGTGATAGCAGTTGTTGATGACTCGATCAAGAGATTGGAATTAGTCTCCCTGTTGCCATATATCATCGAAAACTTAAACCGTTTTTCGGTCGTCCTTGGATCCGATCTGGTACAAGTTTTGGAAGAGCATGATCGCATTCAGTCGTCTTACCAAACAGCAATTTCTAAATTCTCACTCGACCAAAGGCGCAGTCGATCGGCTACTCCGACGGCATCGCATGTTTCATCGCGTCGCTCCAGTGAAGCTTCGCAAGCTATATCAGAGGACGAACAGGGAATACCTAGCGTATCAGGTACTTTGCCGGAGAGCAGGGAAAGTTCTGCTGGCAGCAGGAAATCGTTCACCCAGAAACCAAGTCAACTGAGCCCGCTGCAAACCAGCAACGATCAAAGTGTGGACCTCAAAGTTGTCGATGCCCTTAGCACCCAGATGAAGTATTCTGTTAAAACCATTCTCAGGTTGTTTGCCTCAAATCCAGCCGCCGTAAACGCACTTAAAGATCTGAGAAACGAACGATCGGTGGAAGGAAATACAATGATCGACGAAATGACCACGTTGAGGGCGATCCTATTTGAGCGATTATTGACAACACCAAGCGAAGAGAAAGAGAGGAAACAGTATTTGAAACAGATTATCGCTAGAGAAATGAAATCCAGTGAGACAGGCAGAAAACTTCAGGATGAACTGAAAAGAGCCATTGATGATAAAGAAAACGAGGTATACTGGACATGACTTCTGTAACAATTCTTAACTATTTTAAATCATGGTATTCGAACCCTATATACTTTCTCCCCGCTCAGTTCTACAAACAGGAGAGATCACACACCAATCACTGAACTTAATATTTATTTTTTTAGATTTCCAAGAGAAATGACATCATTCGTAGACTGAAAAATGACATCTACAATGTGGAGAAAAATGCGGAAGAGCAAAATCGTAGGGTCATTACTGAGGCAGCCAAGCAAGATGCATCAGAAATGAAGAATTCTGACAGCAAGAAAAGCAAACTGCAACAAGAAAGCATAGAGTTAAAAAAGAAACTTGAAAGCGACACACTCACTCATAGAGAGAGTGAGCTGGCTTTGAGAAAGGTAAGCGTTAGTGGTTAATTACTACAAGAGCTCATCCCAGTTTTGATTGTATGAAGAAATTTACAGTATGGCTCCCTTCTGATGCCCTGGATGTGATGCCAATCCATTGCAGGAACTCCCTCAAACAACACCATATTAGTCCTATGGTATAAATATTCTCCGCACTGTTTGTTAATGTACATCTCCCATGGTAAAGATAAGGACAATTTGGTCAAAAATCAAGAGGTTCTTCAGTTAGTGATCATTTCCAAAAATCTCATGACCTTTATGGTTGATATAGTAGTGATACTCAAAAGAGAAATTAGATGTCAGGCACTCTTAGGGTTTCAAGAGTTAATATTTTATAATAGAGGTCTAAACATCCATTCTAAACCAACCAAAATTGCAATTACCATTAACCCTCCCTCTCTAATAGGCCTATCCTTACCCTTACCCCCCACCCCTCAAAAAAAAAATCAAACTCTGCAAATAGCATTAGTATAGTCATTCATTTAGGCTTGGTTATGTTTCATCTTAAAATAGCTTTGTAACTTATATTACTAGATCTAGGACTATACTTTTCAACCAAAGAAATGCTTACTGTTACATGTTTCCTAAAATCAGAACAACAGTTCAGTTGGGGGGGCTTATTATAACATTTACAATAAGTTTACCTAAAGAAATGTTCTATCTACAGCGAAAGTACAAGATTGAAACTGAAGTTGAGAATTGGATACAGAAGTATGATACAGATATGGGAGAAAGACAAGTAAGACCTATATATATTTTTTTTTCACTCAAGAGATTAACAAAGAGAAAAGTCACAGGCTAGGCAGCTTTGTATGAACTTTCCATGCGAGATTTTTAGATAGTTTGATACAGTCGAGGCAGCTGATGATTGATTAAAGTCGATAGAATGTTGTAGCAAATTTTTAGAGCCGATTACGACGTAACAAGCGTCAGCCCTCCGTTGAAGCACAGAGAACAGCCATGGCACTTAATTGAGAAACTATTTTTGAATCTTTCCGCTAAATTTTTGCACTCTGCAGGATGAATTTGATGCCCTAGATACGATCTACACGGAGGAGAAAAGGCAGCTAAATGAACTCGAGGAGCGTTTCAAGACCCTGGAGAAAGAGTACTTGGAAATCGTGGAAGCGAGAAGAATTGCAAAAGAGAAGGCCGAAGCTGCTGAAAGAGAGCTGAATTTGAAAATACGAGCGGCGAGATTAATACAGTCTCTTTGGCGAGCGCATAGAGCCAGAAAACAGCTCAACAAAAAGAAAAAGGGAAAGAAAGGCAAAAAAGGAAAGAAAAGTGGAGGAAAGAAGAAAAAAAGATAAACTTCTCCATGGGGTTGAACAAAACAAAAGCCATCTTATGTAAGAAAAGCCTACAGAATGCTGAACTAAAGTTAGCCGAGTAGATTTCTCCTATTATCCAACTGCTCTTCTTTCTGTTGAGTCTTTCTACCCGTTTCTCATGAGGCGGGAAAAGCAAAACGGATACAGAGGCGTAGCGCGCGCAGCCGACTGGTTAAACATGTTTTTTTTTACAGTCCAAAATAATCAATTGTTCAATATCGCAGGATATTTGTGCTCTATTCGCGCGTTATTTGTACTTTACTTTGTG